GAAAATTGGAACGAAAAAATATTTTCTAAATTGCCTTGTCTATTACAAAATTTTTTATGTCTTATTATTCGATATCTTTCTTACTTTTCGAGCAAAAAAATAATCCCTTCAAGTATGCATGTGGACCTATTTACATAAATCTGAAGAAAAAATCAACTTACAGTGTACGGTTAACTCAAAAAGAAAAAACAAAAAATTTTAATAATAGTAATGACAATAAACTTTAATTTACATCCAAAACAGTTACTGTCACGATATAATACCATTTAATGGATATATGTAGTAATGCAAAAGCCTACTGTTAAAAAAATACCTTAAATATTTCATAATTTTGTAGGTAGTTCAATATACATTTATGAAGGAATTATTTTTTTACTTAAAAAGTAAAGGAGATATCGAAATTTTACAAGATATAAAAAAAGTTTGTAAATCGAATGGGCGATTTGTAAAATATTTTGTCATTTCAGTTTTTTTTAAAAATAAAAAAAATTGAAGAAAAAATACTGGAGGTGAACCTCTCATCACCTCCTTACAGAATATTAAAAAATGGGAATATGTTATATAGTCATTTAATTAGTGCTAAGTGTCTGACGAAGTTGATTTTTCTATTTGCAACAGTTTTTGAGAAAAATTTAAATAATTATTTTCAACCCCTAAAAAGACCTGTTACTTTTTAAAGAAGGTTCAGATAAAAATCTTTTATATGAAATAGCCCCTTTAAAATTTAATAAGGATCCCACTATTTAATTTTTTCCAACCATTTCCGAAACAGCCTGTATAATACTGTTTTTATCATTATTTTATTTATTTTTATTAAACATATAAGTATGTATTTCATATAAAAATATATGCATTTCAAAAAAAGTATTTGATTCATTTTGTTTCCTACCTTATACACCGTGTCCACCTAGTGCGCGTAAGTGCAATATCTAGGTTAATAAAAGATATTACTTTTTTTTTTTTCTATAGAGTTGCCTACTTTAGCGAGCTGCATAAAATGAAAATATATTTGCATATACAGGGTGTTCAGTTTTTCCTGGGCAGGTGCCAACTTAACTTTTTTAAACGGAGACCTACATTTTTTATGGCATTATCGAATTCTACGTGAAAAATTAACGGGACTTTGTGTTATGATTGATACTTTTCGAGATAATCGACTTTTCATCTTTTTTTCTTATGTTTCGTCACTTCTAGTAGTTGACATAATTATGATTGTATTACGGCTAGAACTTATTTTTTTTCAGGAACTGTAGAGTGAAGATGGCTCTTTCGAAAAACGTGTCAAAAGTTGACCTGCGATATACAGGGGGCAAAAAAAATTGTGCCAAACCTGATAATTAAAAATTTGAAAAATCTCGACTTTTCCAAATAGAACACCCTGTGTTTTGTGATTTCATTAGATGCCTTTCTGTAGACCCTACAATTTTTTAATAGCTTTCCCTATACCTAAGTTGCGTAGTTTTTGCCAAAAACCCATTTTTATGTAAAATACCGGATTTGCGCCCGTTCCTTTGTAGGGAAAAATATTGTAAGCATCTAATAAAATCATAAAACACAGTGTGTTCTATTTGAAAAAGTCGAAATTTTTCAAATTTTAAATTATCAGGTTTGGCACGATTTTTTTTTACCCCTGTATATCGCAGGTCAACTTTTGATGCGTTTTTTGAAAGAGCCATCTTCACTCTACAGTTCCTTAAAAAAAATAATTTCTAGCTGTCATACAATCAAAATTATGTCAACTACTTGAAGTGACGAAACATAAGAAAAAAAAAATGAAAAGTCGATTATCTCGAAAACTATCAATCTTTTAATAGGGATCATAACACAAAGTCCCGTTAATTTTTCACGTAGAATTCGATAATGCCATGAAAAATATAGGTTTCCATTTAAAAAAATTAAGTTGGTACCTGCCCAGGAAAAACTGAACACCCTGTATATGCATATATATTTTCATTTTATGCAGCTCGGGAAAGTAGGCAACTCTGTGGAAAAAAAATTTAGTTATATCTTTTATTAACCTAGATATTGGACTTACGCGCACTAGGTGGACACGGTGTATAAAATACTTTTAACAACAATAAATTACACAGTTCCACAAAAAAGGATCGGATCTGGTATTCAAACCCATGTATTTCCAAGTATTTTTTTCCGCTAAATACGAATCTGCCTTCAGATTTGGCCCAACGGGTCCGAGCTTTCGGGAAAATTCAAAAAACAGGTCAAAATTCACAAAAAACGTCATTTACGATCGACGAAAGTTATAAAAAATCAAATTATTCTATCAGCTCACTAGACGTATGATTTTTCAGTCGTTTAAATCCAATTTATCATCATAGGCTCAGACAAGCTTTCATGGCATAATTCGTGTTGCAGAGTTCTGGATCCATCTTTTTATCCACCCACCCATTTATGAATTCATACATCTTTCTATCCAGTTGTTCCTGCATGAATACGCATATTTATTCATCCACCTGTACCACCTATAAATCTACAATCGTCTACTTTTTGTACTGAGAGATGAGATAACAGCTTAGAAGGTTGAGAATGCAATAAATCTTGTAGAATACTCTACTTTCTAAATAAAAGAAAACGATATCTACAAATCATTCTTATTTTTGTTGCTATAACAGTGTTCTCATTTCTTCAATGGATCTATGCAAAGGGTTACGCTTTCGTTTAGTCCCTCTATTTTTCATTTCTCTTTTTAAAAAGCAACAAAAATCGGCCATCATGTTTTCATCCCATCTTCTTTGATATCGCTGTTCTATAAACCCTCATATCCTGATGAAGTCGTTCGCCTTGTTCTTCGCTATAATCTCCAAGATTTTCAGGAAACCAATCCAGATGTGAATGAAGGAAGTGCAACTAGTTCATCAAACATCCCAGACTTTGGAAGTCTTTTATCATTTTTGATACAATTTCTTCGTATTTAGGACTCTTGTTATAGGGTGGGTGGATAAAAAGATGGATCCAGAACTCTGCAACCCGAATTATGTCATGAAAATTGCGTTTTTAAGCATTTTGATCTATTTTCTGTTATTGAATGAAATTGGACCAGCTTGTCTGACTTTATGATGATAAATTGGAATTAAACGAGTGAAAAATCACGCGTCTAGTGAGCTGGTAGAATAATTTGATGTTTTATAACTTTCGTTGATCGTAAATGACGTTTACTGTGAATTTTAACCTGTTCTTTGAATTTTTCCGAAAACTCAGGCACGTTGGGCCAAATCTGAAGACAGATTCGGATTCAACGGAAAAAATACATGGAAATACAAGGGTCTGAATACCAGATCCGATCCTTTTTTTTTGTGGGGCTGTGTTATCGATGATAATATTTATCTTGGCAGTATTTCTACCTAAAATAGTCCTTATGAAGGTAAGACAGTGGCCGAAATTTGATTTCGGTTCCCAATCTTCGTTTCGGTCGGACACTACCTACTGATAAGAAAAGTCAACATACCTAATTATAATTAAAGAATATTCATACTTTTATTTATTATAACTATTATTTTATAAACATTTGTACTTTTACAAATGTTTTTACTGAAAAATTATACATATTATTAGAATGTGTCTAATTTTTTTTGTTTGAATTCACCCGGTCACTTGTTAAAATGTTGCCAATCAATTCGCTCACACCCTGTATGGGTGCCTTCGCACGAAAATAATCTATTCGAGAAAATCCATTAGGTACTTGGATTAATTTTATTTATCTGCTGGAGAATTATACTATAAAAAAACAGTTTTAAACATGGCAACATTGCTCTGGCTCATAATGTACCGTATCAGTACATATGTTTGTATATTTTGGCTTCAGATGGTATGAATAATGTGATGGCTCAGGAGAGTTCAGTTGAACTTGTAAAATGAAATCAACTTTTTCAAAGTATATTCGTCATATTTGTATTAAATATTCACTCCTGATCCGATATATGGCAATATACTCTTGAAAAAATATGGCCATGGGCATGGATCAGAAATGTATGAATATACAACTGGCTCAGGAAAGATAGAAGGATGTATATATATATATATATATATATATATATATATTTGTTAGACGACGTATCTATGTTTCCCATAATCTCGATGCATCGTGATAATCTTTGGTTAGAAGTAGGTATATGGAGAATCAATGAAAATATTTCCGACCAACTCAGTACAGTTCTACTAGAAGTAGCTATCAATTTTCTTACTTTATTAATTCTAACACAATACATATTTTTTAGATTCGAAACAAAAGAATTACTATTATTGACGCTGCTACATGCCATACAGCTCGAGAAACAATTCAATTGCTGCATGAGTCATTTCCTAGCCGTATAATCTCCCGTTTTGGTGATCAGAATTGGCCGCTCAGATCACGCGATTTAACGCCGTTGGAATTTTTTCGTTGGGGTTGTTTAAGGTTTATTCCTACAAGCCCATGACCACCCACGCTTTGAAGGAGGAAATTTAACGAAATTCAGCCGCATTTATGCAAAACGGTAATGGAAAGTTTCGACATAAGATTACGTATGTGTCAGCAAAGCCATTTACCCGATATGCTATCCATACATAACCTTGTACTGTATACTTTATGAATCAATAAAGAAATTACAATTTTTAATTAAAAACCTATATTTTCTACAATTACTTCTTGTGTGAATTTTGGGACATCCTTTATATAGTTACATATAGTTTTACAAAATAATGTTTTAATTAATGAGATGTGTCTCGATAGTAAAAAATATTAGGTTTCATATATTTTCAATAATGCGACATTGCGACAAAAAAGAAAACCTGTATCTATATAAAATATATCTTCGAAAAGTTATGGGAAATTATGAATTATAATTCTAAATGTTTCTACATAGTAGAATATTTATTTGATATAATTTTCGAGTCGCTTTATACTCGGATAAGCAATTAAGAGATAAGAAATAATGTTTTATATTCTGTTTTCACTAACCGTGAAGATAACTTTTGACGTCTCCAATATACTTGGTAACTGGAAATTTTCGAAGATAGGTGGTCCAAAATCTAATAAATACAATTTATATAATACTGGCAATAATAATTATTATATCGTCTTGTAGTTATTTCTGTGTTTAATTTAATCGTAAAAGAAGTAAAAACGTAGTGAGAAAATTGTTTTTAAAGTTATAGGTAAGTGACATTGTTTTTTACGGATCTTTTGGAATTCGACAATTATTTCTTTCGATAATTTAGGTACAGACTTATTTAAAGAAATTTTAAGAATAAGATATTTTTTTGTAAGTAATATGCAATGTAAACGTACATGTAATTTTTGTTCCAATTTAGTACAGTGTACAAATTATAAATTTTTTGTAGGTCAAGAAACTGATGAAATTGAATGCGATCTGATGAAGTCAGCGGATCGAGCATGTTTTTCAATGTTTTAATATTTCTGATTATTTGGAACGTTAAAGTGACACATCAAGTACGTTTTATTATCAATAGATATACTTTAAAACGAGAAATATTTAACCAAGTGAAAATCTGTGAAAAGGATAAATCTAATTATGGCGTTATATTTGTGAATTATTTTTTTATCCAATGTGGATTTTAGATTAGCAAATGTAGAAATATTTGCCACTTGTTTAATTTATATATTGTAAAAAATACAAATTAAAACGAATGTATTTGCAGTAATAATAAGTAGGTATATTTCCACTTAAAATTAACCCGTTATCTTTTTTATATTCTTAGAGTGGTAGTACAATAATTACTAACAAACATGCTTTTAGGATGTAAATCAGACTTTAGATCTACCTGTGATCAGAGAGTTTATTGTAAAGACGTTTGTAGCAAATCATTTTGCAAAAACAACTGTTCTTAGTGAGGTAGAAAATGATGACACATATCCCAAACAAACAACTTTCTCTGTGGTATTTCCGGAAGGAGCATTTATATCTGATTTTTCCATTAAAGTTGGTGGAAAAATATATAATGCTCTGGTTAAAAGTGCTGAAGAAATTGGAAAAACATATGACCAGGTAAGAATTTAATTATTTCTGTAAAAGTAGCGCAGAATTTGATTTGTGCGTCATTTTCATTCCGAAAAGTTGACAGCACTATGCAGGGTCACATGTTGTAGTAAACACGTTGAGGTTAGACATAATGTGGCGCCATTGGATGAGCGAGTGAAGATTATGAAAACAACTGTGAAAATATTACTTGCCAAATTTGAACAATTAGGTTCGGTTGCAGACAATATTGCTACGCTAAGTGATAGTGGGGCGGAAATTACCGTAACCTCAGTACACCGCCGGTCAATTCAATTAAACATTTCAAAAAGTACAGTGCAGCGAATTTTAACAAAAGATCTGCATCTGCATCCATTCAATACTCAACTAATTCAGGAATTGAAACCAGATGGCCAATGAATGCACCGGACGTTCGCTGATAGGATGTTGGACAATCAACAAGTGGACGATGATTTTGTTAAGAAAATTATCTTTAGCGACAAAGCGCATCTCCATCTTAGTGGTATGTATACAAGCAAAACTGTCAAATTGAGGACTGAGACAATACTTAGATCATTCAAGAACGACCACTATATACCCAAAGAGTGACAGTGTGGTGTGGATATGACGCTGATGGGGTGATTGGCCCGTCCTTTTTGAAAATGAGGCTGGAAACGCAGTATCTATCAATGGAGAATGATATCGCGAGATGCTATTGGACTTTTTGTGGCCTTATTTGGATGACATGTGTGTGGTTTCAGCAGGATGATGCCATCTGCCATATGGCACCTGAAACTGTTCACTTATTACGACAGAAATTTAGTGGACGACTCATCTCACGTAACAGGAAGTGACTTGGCCACAAAAACCATCCGATCTTACGCCATGCGACTTTCCTGTGGGAATTCGCAAAGTTCACACTTTATTCTGCCTAAAAGAATACTATTCTTGAATTAAAGGCAGAAATTCGAATAGTAAAAGTCGAAATTCTACCACAGGTATGGAAAAGTGTAATACAGGATTTTAAATGAAGTCGAGTATGCCAAATGAGTCGCAGAGGACATCAATCCGATATCCTCTTTCATAGGTAATGATAATGCCTACTCTTTGAAAACATGTAAAAACTTTGCCAACTTTTTAATTATTAAAATATTTTTTCTTTTTATGGAATCCTGCGTTTCGTTTGAAATACTCTTTATTTACATCTACATTACACGTATAGTTTCTATTACTCGTACCTATTCCTAAGCTGTCGAGATTGAAGTTAAATATTATCTATTAAAACATTTTAATAACTATCGCAAAAAAATACATTCAAGTCTTTTCCAATAACTTAAGAATTAATAAAAAATAAATATATTTTATTTACAGTAGTAGTTTTTTTAATCTTATAGAATACCATATTTTCCAAAGTCCATCTACTCTTTGGAAAGTGTAATATTTTCTACCTATTTTACATATTCCCTAAAACTTAGTATGTCGCTTTTAGCCTGTCGAAAGCAACCAAAGTGCAGGATACGTAGCTGCTAGAAATTCTAATAGGTTTACTATAAATGTTGACATTGAACCAAAAAGCAAAGTCAACTTTAATTTAACTTACGAAGAACTGCTGCAAAGAGAAAAGGGACAGTACGAAATAATTACCAATATACAGCCTGGACAGATAGTTATGAAGTTAGCAGTAGAGGTAACTACAATAATAGATACCAAACAAAAATACTTAATCAATTGCAAAAGTCACCAAAGAAATTGAGGCAATTATTCAATTAAAAATTATTCATACATTTTTACTAATTGGACTAACAACTGCATAAATCTCAAATTTCCTTTCAAATCATTAAATTAATACATATTAACTAAAATTGTTCCTTATAATACAGGTTTTCAAAAAATTAAATAAAATGAAACACACTAATATAAAGATACTAATATTAAAGTATTAGTTAATCATAGACAAAAAAAATAAAATAATGAATAAATGATGCATAATGAACTTTATTTTTTTAAATTTTATTTTACAAATCTATATACAAATTATAATACAAATTATTTATACAAATTTTATTTTTACAAATTCGCTTCTCACTACAGAGATTTCAAAAACGGTAAAAGATACGAACTAGTTTATATGGTGGCAAAGTTGCGTAATCAGGGGACCAACATTATGCCTCTAAGAAATCAAGACTAACATGATTAGGTTTCGAAATATTTGAAAAAAAAAAAACAATATTTTGGAAATCCGTTTTTGTTTAATTTCGACCGTGTTTGAGGTAATATTTAATAAAGAAGAACACTTTTCAATTGCAACTTTTTGCCTTCTATCGAATGGCATAATCAATTTTTATTTGTAACGTTTCGTCTTTCCAGGACCATCATCAACTTCATTTTTTTAAATACGAACATGCAAATTTTATCACATTTTTGCAAGCCTCCACGACCCCCAACCAGATTCAGACGTTTTGTCTCAAAAAATTCATCTTCAATGTATTCGTTTTTTTATTTGGATTTCTATGTTTATTGAATTCTCGTACACTCTAAGTGTCGTTAGACCCTGTGAAATCCATCTAAACTATTACCACCACGCATTACAATAAAATATTTATTATTATTAACTATTACCATCACCTGATCATACATAACTCGATAAGTTGTTGCGTCAAAATTAAAACATTATTACAATTTTAATTTTATTATGACAAATTAATTCTTAAAAATGCATATGAACAACCAAAAGGCTAAATGATTATTATAGTTAAAAAATTTCAGTAAATGTTCAAAACCATTTCCGTTCTGGCAAAGGTTGAAAATGAAGAAGAGCGTAATATTATCGGAATTTATTATACCTGTAACCGCAACTGTGAAAAAGCATGTCAGATATATTTGTACGAATATCCTGAAAAAAATTAGATCTGAATTTGTTTGAATTTTGAGTACTCGAGAAGCCTAGAAACAACTATGTGCACGGGATTAAAACTCTAAATGTTTTATTGTAATGCGTGGTAGTAATAGTTTAGATGGATTTCACAGGGTCTAACGACACTTAGAGTGTACGATAATTCAATAAACATAGAAATTTAAATAAAAAGTTTAGTTAAATTTGAAACGAATACATTGAAGATGAATTTTTCGAGACAAAACGTCTGAATCTGGTTCGGGCTGAGGCAGTACAGTATTGGAAGTCATGAAGGATTGCAAAAATGTAATAAAATTTCCATGGTCGTATTTAAAAAATGATGTTGATGATGGTTCTGGAAAGACGAAACGTTACATATATAAATTGATTATGCCACTCGATAGAGGGAAAAAGTTGCCATGAGAAAGTGTTTTTCTCTTTTTCAATATCACCTCAAACAAGGCTAAAATGAAACAAAAACGGATTTTCAAAATTTCGTTAATTTTTCAAATATTTCGAAAACTAATCATGTCAGCCTTGAGTTTTTGGAGGCATAATGTTGGTTCCCTGATTACGCAACATTGCCCCCATTTAAGCTAGTTCGTATCTCTTACCGTTTTCGAGATCCTTGTAGTGAGAAGCGAATTTGTAACAGCCTGTATATCATTGGTCCTTGTCTCCTTCAAAGTACTCCCTTCCCATATTCACACAAACAGCGAGCATCACTCTGTGAGTGCTTTCTTGGGGCGTGGATATCCTTTGCCAATACATTGTGACGATTGAACTTTTGTTTCAATGTCTTAGCTATAAACCCAACTTTTGTCTCCCATTATCATCCTTTAAATCAGCGGTTCTTAACCTTTTGTTTGCCGCGAACCTCCTTTCAATATTGTTTTGTTATGTTTTATATAAGTCGCAATTTAAATGGGTTTGAAATATTAATTCTAAATTGCACACCAAACGCAAATTTTGGAAAAATAATAGTCCAATTAAATAAGCCTTTAAATCGAAATTTTGGTCAACTTGCCTGAATTTTTGATATAAGTTAGTTTGAGCAATGTTATAACAATAAGTGACAGTAATTTTTTGTTCAACCGCCGGCCAAGGGTGAAAAAAGATAAAACAAAGGGTTTTTCAAAATAAGTCAAAACGGGTAAGGGCTAGAGAAAAAAGTTTCGTATGAAAGTTGAAAAACATACATTTCTACATAAAAATGGCTCCTTGACTTTTTCTTGTATTATTAAATTTAAAAAAAAAATCATAAGCAGAAAAATGAACGAATTGTGTAATTTTTTTTCGATCTGCTCTAAAAAATTTAACCTTTCTTTTCAGAGAAATAGATATATTTTTTAATTTTTAATAAGAAAGTTATAACAATTTCAAATTTGTTGTTCACCCCCCTAAACAGAGATTGTAACGAAAACCTCGAAACAGGTCAATTTAATTTTGTCAATTTGTTTACATAAATCATATTTTTAATTCTTTTTGAGTAAATATGATTTTTTTATAAATAAAAAATATAGTTTTTTTGAAATAAAAATAAGGGTAGCAACCCCCAAACACGGAATCACTTGCGAAATATTTGTTTTTTATCATAAGTAATTTCCATTTTGTATAATTTCAAAATATTGATTAGAACCCCAGAAATTTCGAAAAAACTGTTTTGGGGGGCGAACTTTGAGGGTGTTTTCACCCCGTAAATATGTTTTTCCGCCGATAAAAAAATACGTGTCTCTTTACATTTTTTAGAGTAGATTGAAAAAAAATTATAAAATTCATTCGTTTTTCTGCTTGTTATGATTTTCTTTAATTTCTGAAATCTTCCCTTAACTTCTAGCCTCCCTAACTCTGTTAATTTTAATAGTACAAGAAAAAGTCAAGTTGCAATTTTTATGTAGAATTTTATGCTTTACAACTTTTATAAGAAACTTTCTTTTCTAGCCCTTGCCCCTTTTGAGTTATCTTGAAAAACTCCTTTGTTTTATCTTTTTCACCCTTGGTCGGGGGTTGAACAAAAAATTACTGTCACTTAGTGTTATAATACTTCAAACTAACTCATATCAAAAATTCAGGCAAGTTGACCAGAATTTCGATTTAAAGGCTTATTTAATTGGACTAATAAACAATAAGTTACACTTTGACATATAAGAGAGTGCATTTTCTTAATTAGATGTTATTAGTGATTTCTAAAAACTTTGGTATAAGTAGGATATGGCGGCACCCCAGGGGTTCGCTGACCACAGGTTAAGAATCTCTGCTTTAAATGAAAGTTTCATCGTTATTAGATTGTTCAAAAAGTTGCCGACAAACGTCCATACGATTTTTTTCTGTCGTTTGATCATCAAACAAACAAATTTTGCTGCAACTCGATGCATGATCAATTTCAAAATTTCATTGCATGATCCAATTATCTCAATAGGATCATGCCATGCGAACCTCTTTTGAAATTTCTTTGAGGGTCAATCGGCGATTTGCATGTACCAAATCTTTGACTTTTTGAACATGGGAGTCATCAGTTGAAGTCGAAGGTCTATCTGGTCGAGGATTACCTTCAATTGTCTGACGACCACTTTTAAATCGTGAAAACCATGCGTAATATTGCGTACGATTCCGTAGGCTTGTTTAAAAAATTTAAACGTTTCTGTGAAAGCTTTTCCCAGTTTCACGCAAAATTTTACGATGCATCGTTGATCCACATTTCAAAAATCGTTACTAATACTTAAACATGTTGCACTCAAATAACACAATATCTCGAAAACTAAATGAGATATCAGCAATCCAAGAACATATGGTTACAGATGAGGTTATGCGTACGTAATGCTACCAACCGCATATCAGTAAATAGCTCCGTTAGCACGTAACAGACCTCGTATCTATAACATATATGTTATTCAGATTAATTATATTTATTTTTTGTTTACAGGTAGAGATACAGGAAAATAGACCCCTTCTTTTTGTTAGAACACCTCATTTACGATCGGGTAATAATGCATTAACGCAAGACAACAGTCAGTTAGATACATATGCTACGGTGAAAGTTTCAAACACATCAGCCACAATAACATTTGAACCAGATTTGCAACGTCAGTTACAGTTTGTTTGTGCGGGTCTAGGAAGTAGAGAGTATGAAGGATTTGCTGGCCAGTTTGTTGTTCAATACGACATCGAACGTGACGATCAGGGGGGTGAGGTAAATCTACTTGTTTGACGATTTTATTAATTTCCTCTTGTTCGTATTGCTGTCGTGCAAAGATAATGTAACTCCCAAATTAGAAGGTAATTATATGGAAATGAGGCATACTGAATAATAATAGTATGCCACTCTCTATCCTGTACAAATCTTTGAATAGCTAATCCATGATATTCAATGATAACTGCAGATATTATGTGTTTATATAGATTAGATAAAATCTTAAAGAAAAATGCATGCACTTTTACGTAAATGAATTATCATATCAAACAATATATGTACGTATAATATTTATTTGTTCATTATGACTACTTCTCTAAAATTTACGGTTTTAGACACTCTTTCAAGAAGAATATGTTATCAGTAATTTTGCTCCATCAGGTATGAAGCCTTTACTTAAGCATATTGTCTTTGTCTTGGACACAAGTGGGAGTATGAGAGGCACACATATTGCTCAGTTAAAAGAAGGAATAATAAGTATATTACCACAACTATATTCAGAAGATTTGTTCAGTATCGTGCAGTACTGTGAAACAGTTTATTTGTGGGATTTAAATTTGGAACATCATGGCGTTATCCCGTTGTTTCCAGAATACGGAAATTTAGCAAATCGACTAAAGGTGTTTTTAATTATTCGTTTTTAATATTAAGCTTTGTTCTTTTAGTTTACTTGACATTAAGCAAATTCAAATTCCTAAAATTTTCCTAAAATTGTCATCTGATAAAGACACCAAAATTAAATATGTTAAAAAAGCTACTTAAAATTAAAGATATTCACTATTAAGTAGTTATTCTTCTCCTTCACTGTTCAAATCTATTCAGCAAAGAGCTTGGTTCTTTTAAAAAAGTCCAAAAGCTTCCTTGCCGACACATCTCTGAACTCTTTGAGTTCCAGAAAGGGTTTTCCCAGGAGCGTCATTCTGTTACGTGGAAATCCTGCCCCGAATATGCAGAGAAGTTGCATCCACCAAGTCACATTCTCGGCAGATCGGACTGTCTATAAGCTAGCTTGTGTTTTTTAAAGTCTTGTTATAAGATCCTACACTTCCTGAGCCGAATTTTATTCAAACTCAGCAACTCATTCGGTTTTTTTTCTGAAATGCAAACTCCATAAGTTCCTTTGCATGTCTTTGCTCCTATGTTCTGATCATTCCATTCGCCCAAAGCACTCCTGACCACACTGGGAGATGTGCCAGAGAAAGATTCCGAACCAATGAAATTTATTTCGGACCTCTTCCTAGCAAGTTCATCCGCTTTCTCATTTCCGTCAATGCGTTTGTGTCCTGATACCCAACACAATCTGACTGTATTAGTGGTAGCCAGCATTTGTAAACATTCCCGCACAAGTTTTGACCTAACCTTGTATGTACCCGAAGCCGCAATCGCTGCTTGACTGTCAAAAAATATGTATATGAGTTTACGTTTATAACCTCTATGTAAATTTCTCCTTGAAATACAATGAGAAACCTCCCCAGATTGTAGCTTGCACTCCATCTGGGTCTGAGTCCATATATGCCTGCACCCGTCTTCCCTGGCCATCCGTAATATTTAAGGGTGTCAAAGTTTTCTTCCCATTTTCTATTCGAGTCTCGAAGATATGGAAGTGAAACCTAGAAACCATTCTGTCGAATACCATCCCCAGAGTTAGTTCCAACATATATGTTTGCATAATCGTGGATAGGGACTACCTCTCCAATTAATTAATTATTAATAGCTTGTCTTTGAAGTTGCTTTTTAGTATCATCAGATGAGAATTTTACAATTTAACTTACACACAAATTTTCTACAGGATGTAACAACGACGTGATAATCTTTCAGGGTTCATCCTACTGATCAAAACAAATAAACCAATGTAACCTTTTTAATTATTAATAGCAGCTTTATGGTCTTTCAAAGATCGAAATTGAGTTGATTGGTTTTTCAAGAATCATTATACACTGTTCAAATTTGAATAAGAAACAACCAAGAACGTCAAAATTAGGAAGGCTCTGAAGGATTTCAACTGTAAACAAAAGTGATCTGAACTTAAAGGAGATCTTTTGGAGATTTGGATAGAATATTTCCATTCAAAACATCGTTCATGTAAAAAATGGTTACATGAAAATCATATTGTCTCATAATTTTACATAAATTCACCTTAATTCAATCCAACATAGTCAGATAATGTCAGATTCAAATTTTCTTTTGCCTATATGATTTGTTATTAACAAGAGTATACTATCTTCACGGTTTTTGATTTCAACTCATGAACTGTGTAATTGTGAAATAAACTTAAATGACACAAAAGTTTTAGCTGGATGTAGTTCACCCAATCTGTAGTAGAAGAATATTACAAAATCGAAGACAAGGAAAATTTTTCAAGAGCATTTTTTTGGTAAATGTGTTAATTTAAGTAGGTGTAGAGAATATTAAAATTTACAGGGTGTCCGGAAAGGTCATGTCAAAAATGAAGAGATATACAGGTGAGGCACAATAGTTGCAGTACATACTTTATAAAAAAAATTTCTTATCGGGCTTCGTTGTGGAGATATTCGCCTACGAAGAAAGAAGTTTGCAAAACGAATTCTAATTACTTATAACTTATAAGTCGTTACCATGACAACAATGAAATTTTTTATACATCTTTGACAACGTTCCCAAATTTGCCATTTTTCTTGCATGGTTCGATTCCTCTCTCACTTTGCTTAAAAAAGTATACAATATATATATCAGTCGATATCTTTTACCGTTTTTGAGAATATCGAATTTTATTAACAACTTAGAACATACCAAAGTAGTTCCCTGTGCGTATTTTCAACTGAATAATGTTCACCTAAAGTTTGTGCACTGTGAATTTTCAATGATTTTCAAGTAATAAAAAACTATTTCGCATCCAACTTTTCAAGGATCATAGTCTTTAGTAATCGTTTTACTCTGTTTTGTTTGTTTTGACAATAAGATGTAACCCTGCCAGTTTGAAGCAATGTCGCAGTTATACCTTATATTTGTAATTTATATTTAGAATAGCGCATACTTTTTTATTTTAATTGTTAACAGTTTAGCTTGTTAATTTTTTAGGAAATTGAAATTCCAGACGCAATTTTGGCGACGTCAGAAAACATTGACATTGCAAAAAGAATAATTAATAGCTTTAATGCTGATGGTGGCACAAATACTATTGGAGCTTTAGAAGTGGGGTTGTATCTAGTACGACTTGTGCAAGAAAAGCATCAAGGAGTATACCAACCTATATTAATATTTTTGACCGACGGATTACCTAGTGTGGGTGTTGAAAATTCTTCTGAAATAATTTCAATGGTAAATACTACAGCGTTTTATTTCAAACTAATCGTTTTAAAATTATAATATGAGATATTTTGCAAAATAAACTTGTATTTATTACAATTAGAAAAACATTGGAATCAATCAAATACATTTATATGATCTATTTATTTTAACTTGACCACAAATTAAACAATTTATATAAGGTATTAAATTAAACTGCACCCATTAAAGGTGCATTCATGTCATCATGTTTGTATCAGATTTTATATATTTCTCTAATAACACAGCCCTTCAAAAAGAAAATGTTTTGTAACAGAGACATGTGTGATTGTGTGTATCTATTTTGTGTAATTTTTTATGCTGAATCCGAATCCAGAGCCCAAAACCGATCTACCAGGTCATTTTTAGTAAAACTCTAAAATAGGGTGAAATAGTCAGGATAAGGTGTTTATGATGAAAAGCAACAATTTGTAAATACAAATATGTAATATTTGTAAATACTTTGAGCAAACATTTTAAAATATGTAATATTTTAGTATTGGAAAAAATACATATATACAAATTAAATCCACACCCACCTCTATCGAGGGGGTTAATTCCACGCTTAAGATCAAATACCGGATTTATTAGTGCAAAAAGATATGAAAAACTTGGGTGGTAAATACCAACTTCTATGGGCCAATCAATAGAGCATTAAATCAGTTATTTTGTGACAAAGATACCAACTAGTAGCAAAAGGAATGTCCATCATGTAAAAGACAGTCTGTAGATATATGCTTAAGTATATGTTTCCTACTCCAATTTACCGTTAAATAATTCTTTATAAACGATTTTATGCAAAAAACGCATTTTTTAGTCTTTTATTTATAAAACCTGAACTAACGCAACAATCTGAATGCTAGAAAGAGACAATTTGTAGAGAATACAAAACGAGAAGTCGATCGATCCGATCGAATAAATAAAAACGAAGAAACCCCGAAAAAATCGGAAAATTTTGTGTTTTTTTTTTAAATTCATTACTTCGCCATTTTTTAAATTGTAGAGTTGACCCCGTGCACAAAAGTAGTGAATTATATGTACTTTAAGTTTGCACAATGCAGGCGCTGTCGGACCATTAGTTTTGCACAATTGCAATTTGAATTTTTTGGTGCACTGTTTTGCAAAGATGGTCCGATTTTAATTTTTCAGCCGGATTTACAAAATCCGGTATAAATATGTATTCTTTGGAACAGAAAAGTACATTTTCTAAGAAAATTTTTGAATTCAGGTTTGATGTCAAGATTTCGCGTAAATATCAAAAATTGCAGGAAGAAAACAAAGAATGTCCACAGGTTCCACATCATTGTGATTCCGTGTATTGGTAGCATTTATGTATTATGTGTTACCACATAATAATATTATATTTTTGAGCTTGTTTGGAGAACTTTTTCACATATTTCGCATCATTTTATCGGAACATTAGAATATACGTTTTGTAGTTTTATACTTCTACTTTTAAAATCGGGCTGAAATATTGAAATAGGATCACCTCCAACGCACCAAGAAACTTTGCAAAATAGTGCACCAACAAATTCAAATTGCAATTGTGCCAAAACTAGTGGTCCGACAGCGCCTGCTTTGTGCACACTTAAAGTATATATAATTCACTACTTTTGTGCACAGGGTCAGCTCTACAGTTTAAAGAATGGCGGAGTAATATATCTTTTAAAAACGCTAAATTTTCCGGGTTTTCTTCGTTTCTAATTATCCGATCGGATGGATCGACCTCTCGTTTTATTCGTATTTCCATTCTCTACCAATTGTCTCTGTATAGAATTCAGACTGCTGTGTTAGTTTAGGTTTTATAAGCACAAAATTTTTAAAAAATGCGTTTTTTACATAAAAATGTTTATAAAAAATTAATTGATGGTAAATTAGAGTAGGAAATATATAAGCATATATCTACAGACTGTCTTTTATATAATGGCACAGTCCGTTTGTTACTAGTATTTTTGTCACAAACAAAACCTCTATTGATTGGCCCAACGAATTCTAACCACTAGAAGGAGCTTTGTGTATTCTTATACATGTGTTTTAACTGTAGCAAACATCTAAACAGAGAACTACCTAATAAATAAAGATAGATCGTGTCAAATGTAAACAATGAGACACAACGGCAGTGCCGTACTGTCAAAAAAGGCAAAATATTAAAATTTACAAAATACCAATACACATTTGAAAGGATTACTCATTTTATAAATAATTTTTACATATCGGTGATAATTCTATAATGAGACGGTAAAAATTGAAGTAAAATTAATAAACCGTTTTTACCATACTCAAATTGTTTTGACATCAGTACTGATTGATTAAATGCTTATTTCCAACACTTGTGATACTATAATTTCTTTGGATTTAAAGGAATAATGTGACCTATAAGTCACTAGTGAGTTATAAGTCATAAGTCACTAGTAAGTTATGACTTTTAACCCACTAGTGACTTATAGAAGTCATAAAAAGACAAATGTTTAGTTTATTTTTCTAGTTTTTTATTAGAAAACCAATTTGAAACAGTAATAAGTCAACAAATAACCTAAAATGCTACAAACTTACAATCTACCTACTTATTAATATTAACATTAACATTTATGGCAAAGCCGTAATTTGATATTTGAAGGAGCACCATGAAAAGTAACAGAAACTATTTTGATAGCTGATTCACTTAAAAATTCTAAACATTTTTTTAACAAATTAGCTTTTTCTCTACCACAAACTGTTTGTCAAGAAGTACCCAACAGATATTTTCCAATTACTATTTATAGCTACAACCATAAACATAAGGGCTTCCGTAGCTTCAGTGCCGACATCGACATATCCGATGAATCGTCTCCAATTCCATACTCAACATGTTGCATTATAGACTTTTCGTCAAATACCAAATTGCCCAAAATTTAACTGTTTGTTTCTCTTACTTTCATTTTAATAGCAGCCAATGCTTCATTTGTAAATCCAGGTGTTCCATCTATAGATCTGTTCCACTTAGAAATTGTTTTTGTATGCGGTAAAGCCATCTTTTTTCATAATTATAAGCATCTGTTGAATAAAAGCTTAACGTTGAGGCAAACGACCTAAACTCAGGTGAATACTTTTTACGAGATTGTCCTTTCCTTGATTTTTGACAGATTTCACCTAACATTCCAGGTGCTGAACAGAAAGAATAAGTATTTTTCAACTTACATGAATGATACGATACATTGAGCAGTTTCTGTTGTCATATTTCTTTTTCAAAAATTTCAGAAGAGAATTAAGGCTACAAATTCTGGCTAGACGATTCTTTGCTTGCTGCAGATTTCGGATCTTTATTGTTTGCATTTTTATTTTTTTCTTACAAATACTCCAATTTTTTCTTGCTCTTTTTGGACTATCCATGTTAGAAGTATGGCATTCTCCAAAATATCGTGGATAAGGCCTTTTCCTAAAAATGATAAATTATCTATTCCAGATGTATTTTATAACGAGCGTTCAAATAAAAACGTGGTCGAAGTTGGCTCTGACACATTGGACGTAGGGAGTAGCTTATAGCGACCAACTTAACCTCATTTCTCAACGAGCTGTATAGCAGCTGTCAGTTTCTATAACGTTAATGACTATATAACTTTATTTCAAAGAATAATCGTGATAACAATAACAAACAATTAAAGGAACTGCGGAAAGTGTCCCCCTCCTTATTATAACAATAAATTAAAGCAGCTGCTGAAAGTGTCCCCTCCTTGTTCCAAGCACTTTTCACACCTGTTCCTCAAAGATATAAAAATACATTTTCTAATATGTTCGGGGTATTGTTAAGTAAGGCCACAAAAAGAAATCACACAGCGTAATATCACATGACCTCGGTGGAAATTCATGTTCAGCATTGAGACTTATTAGTCGATTTTGGAAAACTTCCCTCAACATATTCATCGTCATCTTGTTGAAAGTAAAAGTTTGTAATTTCGTTTTCTTCCAGCTGGTTAACAAAAGGAGCGATAATTTCTTCTCTATACCTTTGCGCAGTAAGAATACCATTTAAAAAAAATAGGTCCATAAATCCTCCTTCGATTGAGAGCACACCAAACTCCAATTTTTTGAGCGTGTAGAGGGCCCTCGACAAAAAAGTTATCTGTTTTTTCAGAAGACCACATTCTCATATTCTGTGAGTTTACGTAACCACTTAAATGAAACCAGGCTTCATCAGAAAAAAAGGTGATATTATGAAGTTCACTGTAGTTGTTTAAAAACCATTCACAAAATACAGCCCGTCGCGGAAAATCAACTTCATGAAGTTCTTGCTGACAAGTTAAACGATAGGAGAACAAACGCAAATCTTTTTTTAACACTGTGTGGCAGATACCGACTGATACTCCCACCATTTGTGATAAAACACGTACAGAAGTTATTGGCGCATTTTCCATTATTTGTTGGACATTTTCTTTTAATTCTTCAGTCCGCTTTTTAGGTCGGCCGCTTCCTTCTTTTCTTGTTACACTGCCCGTTTCACGAAAAACATTAACACAACGCTGAACTGCACTTTGAAAAATTTTGTACTCAACAACGCCGAGAAATTGATTTTGAAATTCTATGAAACATTCCTCAATAGAATACTTCCATATTCCATCAATCTTGCGTCCATTTCTAAAGTAGGACTCTATGATAAACACTTTTTGTTCTTGAGAAAACACCATTTTAAACGCTTTTTAAAACGAAAATATTCAAATTAGATGACGTTTAAGTTCATTTGCTATACGCTACGCCCTACGTCCAAATTTTCAGAACCAACTTGACCACGTTTTTATTTGAACGCTCGTTATAAACTCTTACGGTAGTGTTTATATAAAATAAAATGGTAATATAAAAGAATTTTTGCAAAAATCATGTCAAAAATAACGATCGGTTTTGGTAACTGTTGTACTAATTAATGTGTACCTAATCGGCAAGGAAAAATAATTAATTTTTTTGCTCGTAAACCATTAAGTATACGAAAAAATGGGAAGGGTAAAAAAGTTTCTAAATGAAATGTAGTATTTTTCATGTTGGAATTGGCTAACGTAGAAAAAAGTTGTGAGAGAAATAAAACCAAGGGGTGCTAATTTCTTTCATTCAGACATAAACCAGAAAAAAAGAATTCAAAGAATTTCCCAAGAAATAAATAAAATTCTATAACATCTATTTTACGTCAACAAATTCAACTGCTTTTGCCTCTATTGTTATTATTAATTAATACAATTAATTTGTAGTTTTAGTTAATAAAGTAATTACAACAACTGTTAAAAATTTTGTTCACCGACGTGTAAACACATTTGGGCCCATCTTGCCTCACCTTAAAACGATATCCATCAATTCCCGAGTTGCTATACACGTAAACCATTGTTGGTACTTAAAGAACTAATGTAAACACTATCGCATTTCAGTATTCGAATCGTCCGGGTCCTCGTGGAGAGAGAACGTATTGCGCACAGCCTACAACGCGAATGACGCTAGAGACTACAAAAGTCCAGCGATGTTGAAGGTTGAAAATACTATAACTTTTTTTTTTCTCAGAAACTACAAGGAATTTACAAATATTCCCAGAATGTTTTTGCAAAAAATATTTTTTAAATTTTTGTGTTCAACTCCTTTCCATGCGCCCTTAGCAGTTTGCGCCCATAGGCGTGTGCCTACTCTGCCTATACCTTGTTACGGCACTGCATGTGGATATACTTTCTGATTTTTGTTGCGGCAAGTGTGACTGTTCCGTAGGAACATTATTTATAGGAATATTTTCCTTATTAGAACTGTCTAACCCATAAAAATTAAATAAGAAGGTAAAGGGGTACTAGGTAACCGTAAAGGCTTTTTTATTTTAATCAACATAAAAGTTGTTTTACCTGCTATAAGTAGAAGCTATTACTGGAATAGCTGTCTCTCGCAAGTATTTTATACCTGATGGCATTGTTAGAAAATCATTAATCGCAAAATGATCAGAACAAACAAAAATTGTCGGTAATATTGACATCACCTAGGGAGAGCTTCCACAAGTTTCCTCGTTCCAGATTCTTAGGAAATCTAAAAAGTACAGGTATTACTCATAATATACTTATAATATTACTGAAACAGGAAAAAACAAGTTGAACAATTAAAAAATATATCTTTTTAATAATTTAGATAATGATTTAGTCAGTATTTTATCACTGCTAATTAAGTACTAAATGTAAAACAACCGTATGTAATTCCCCAAACGCCGCCCATGTTGCTTGTTTACTTACCTGTCAAAAGACCACTGCTCGCCCTTTTTAAATAAAACTTTACAAATAACACACTATCTAACCATGTCCTAGCACTAAATAAATGTCCATATATAAAAATTACACAACAATAAGACGAAAATGACACACTAAACACAAACAAACTCAAATATTCGTGATTGGCGGCTTTAAAAATGATCTAGTAACAAGTTTCAAATTTTGAATGCTTTTCCAATGTTTAGAAATTCAGACTTCATATTCGTAATCAGCGACCCCAAAAACTCGCGGTACCTAACTTAGGCACAAATATTGAATAGAAATTGTGCGACTTAAAGTGGTAAGTGGAATCCCGGGATGTAGTAGTGTCCAACCCTTTGAAGGATGTTTATATTATATTTTTTTGGTATATTGTCTATCAACCTACATTTATAAATATGGTAGTATAAAATACAAGACTATGATTTTTCACATTCGTTATTTGATTTTAGGCGTGAAATACATTTCTTTCCATTACTCAAAATACTATTTTAACATGTTTTCTCCTCGCTATTATCCTTCTCCTCACTATTTCATCCTAATTTAGGGGATATTCTAGCGTTTTACTAAAAAATGTTCTGGTAAATCGGATTTTGTGCTGCGGTTGTGTTCGCATTCGGTTTAAAAAATGGGTATAGAAGATCTATGTACTCACGACTATGGTATAGAACTTTTATTTTTATGGGCTGTGTAATCTATGAAGTGAAACTTAATTTTGTGTGATAAATTTATTTTTTTCTTTATTTGTCAATTTTAAATTTATTTTCACAGATGGCAAAATATTCAAACATAAAAAACTAAAATTATAGCACAAACAAATAAATTCGGAATTTTAATATTCTGATTAGTGGCATTTCTTTCATAGGTATTAGATATAAATTCTAAGGAATATAACACCCCAATATACTCGTTGTGTTTTGGCGTCAATGCTGATTGGAATTTTTTACAAGAACTATCCTTGGTAACGAAAGCAAAAGCAACACGTATTTACGTAAATGATGATGGGACAGAATCGGATGTATCTATTCAGTTAAAAATGTTCTATGAATCAATTAATGAGCCTCTATTAAGTGATATTATGTTTGACAATTTACCGCCATCTGTTCAGATGACTCAGCTATCTTTTCCAATTTTCATCAAGGGATCAGAAATAACCATTGCTGGAAAAGGTAATAATAACTATATGTTTATTAAAGAATGTGTATTTTTTTTCCAAGGTACAGAGTATTAATATTACGAGTAAAATATTAAACTCATTTGTACTCGTATATCGAAAACCTTCATAGCAATAATTTTTTTTATTTTGATGAAAATATTTAAATTTAAATAAATATCTACATATATCATTAATTATAATTTAAAATAATTACCATATTTAGTACCCTCATAGGACACTTGAAAATTGTATACTTACAATATACAAGGTGTCCGCAAATTTCACCGACAACGTTTGACTGCACATTCACGACGATAAATAAAGACGATCTACGATAAAAAGTTAAATAAAAAATTTTTGGTTTTTGAGTCACAAGCCTTTAAAATTGTCAAAAATAAAACTAATTTAATTAATAACTTCATAACCCTCTTACCGATCGCATTAAAATTTGGTACATTTATTTGGACCATTACTGCATATTATTTCTTAAAGCTTTAGTCAAATCGATATACTGGGTGATAGTTTTCTCTGGTTACTTCTCCCTTTTAGCGGTCAAAACTTTTACAGTGGTCATATTTTTTTAAAACGGGCAGCAACATTGAAATGGTCGTTTTATTTATTGAGAATCTTAAAGAAACACGAGAATAATCACATTACCCGATAGCCACAACAATCAACATTGAAAAGGTCGTTTTATTTAAAAAAAATATTGTCTCTTGAGAAAACCGCCTACAAAAAGCCATTCTTGAGAAATATGGCGTGATTTGCATGTGTGTACGTTTCGGTTTAAAACTTTGAGTTCAGGCGATGAAAACGAGATAAGATTAGATCAGGTAATGTGATTATTCTCGTGTTTCTTTAGTATTCTCATTACTCCACACATGCAAATTATGAAAACTGCGGACACTTCATAATAATGACATTCCCTGATAGCCACAGCAATCGACATCTTGTTTTCATCGCCTACTGAACTCAAAATTTTAAATCCCACACCGCTATACAAACCGAAACATACGGAGCTGCAAATAATGCCATTTTTCTCAAAAATGGCTTTCTGTAGGCGATTTTCTCAAGGGACACTATTTTTTTTAAAATAAAACGACCATTTCAATGTTGCTGCCCGTTTTAAAAAAATACGACAACTGTAAAAATTTTGATCGTTAAGAAGGAGAGGTAACCGGAGAAAACTTTCACCCGGTATATCGATTTGACTAAAAATTCAAGAAATAATACGCAATAATAGTTCAAATAAATGTACCAAATTTTAACGCGTACGGTAAAAGGGTTACGAAGTTATTAATTAAATTAGTTTTATTTTTGACAACTTTGAAGGCGTGTAACTCAAAAACCAAAAGGTTTTTATTTAACTTTTTTTTCGTAGATCATATTTATTTATCGTCGTGAATATGCAGTCAAACGTTGTCGGTGAAATTTGTGGACACCCTGTATGTGAAAAACGTCCATGTTGCCATGAAAAGCAAATAAGTGGTTAGATAAACATAATTTTTCCTTATACATACATACCTTTACAAATATACAGAAAATCAATTTAAATACAGAAACTGTAGAAATAGATTAGTTGCAAAAAATAAGTAGCGTAACTTTTTTCCTGGGGGACGTGGTATTCGAGATACAGGATGTTGAAGTTTCCAAAAAAAAAAAAATATATTTTCGGTCATATCACGCTGAACAATTTAAATGAAATTTATTACAGCGTATTCACGTAACTACACCTTTTATTTAATACAATATTAATATTGTGGCATTAACCAGTGGCGTGCTACTGAAGGTGCCGCTCCGTTTTCCCAAGAAAAAATACGCGCCACTGGCAGTTTTTTTTGTAGAAATAATGTTCAGTTCAGGTACTGTTATGGTAAATGAATGAAAAATGATTATTGGTATTTTCTAATAGCAGCACCGTTTAGGAGATAATTTACTTATTTGGCGACCATAATGCGCAAATTTAGTCCACCTACTCATATCAGCAAAAATTGAATCTGTTGTCTGCATTATCAGTTAGTAAGCTTTACGATGATCTCATTTTAGTATTATAACGAGCTTTGTTTATTTATTTCTGAAGCTGCAGTCCGTGTTGGGCTTATGAACACGAGACGAGTTGTGGCACAGAATAGAGTAAAATTGTAATATCCTCAGGGAAAATCATGTCATGATAAGTTCCTCTATAAATAATTTAGAAGATGTCAAAAGTGTGTCGATGCGGAAGGACAATTGTTGTAGGACTCGTTACTTAATTACATAGTACTCGACCTGTTTGCTAATGTTTTTTATTATTTAGTTTTGATATTTTTCCCAGAAATAAAATTATTTCTACAAAAACACACCAGTGGCGTATTCTTTTCTTGGAAAAAGTTGGCGGACGATTTAGTAGGACGTCACTGGTTAAAACCAGGAGGTTTCCATCAAATAAATGGATTCATTTATAAGGAAAATTCACTAAAATGTAAAAACAAGCTCAAATATCTCCTAAACGGCTGCTACTATTAAAATCACCAAGAAATATTTTTCATTAATTTAACGTAACAGTACTTGAAAGTAACATTATTTCTACAAAACACCGCCAGTGGCGTATTTTTTTCTTTGAAAAATGGAGCGGCACCTCCAGTAGCACGCCACTGGTTAAAACCACAAGGTTTATATTACATTCAATAAAAGATCTAATTAAGTGAATACGCTGTAGCAAATTTCATTCAATTCCGTCAGGGCATTATGAAGATATAGCAGAAAAATTATATTTTTTTGTAAACTTTAACACCCTGTATCTCGAATACCGAGTCTCGCAGGAAAAAAGTTTATAGAGCAAACTTTACTTATTTTTTGGTAATGAATTTAGTCCTGCAGTTTCTGCATTTAAAGTGAATTTATTTATTTAATTTATTTTACCTGAATTAACTTTCCATTTTGCTTTTCTGGTATAGTTGTTACGATGTCAATTGAAACCTGTAAATTTTAAAGCACAGGACCTTATGCACCTTGAAATTGAATGAAATTTCTTCTTATGCTTTGACCATGGTGTGTCTCGTAATTTATACTCGAATAGCAATTGGGCGAGTCCGGTATTGGTAAACTAGTTTGCCTGATGTAGAATTGACGGCGGCGCGCTGGTCATCAAAGCAAACCTGTATTGGTCCACTAGGCCGTAAATATTTTTTTTGTATGATACACGAGTTCACTTAGCTTTGCCACTTTGCCAGTGCCGTGCAGAGCATTGCTTGGCGGGGTATTTTGTTGGTATTACGTATTATTATTTATTAGTTGATATTATTATTATTTGCGCATATCGCAACCAGTAAAGGGTAAGTTATTAAAATAAATGTTATATGTAATTATCTAGTAATTTAGCGTGACTCTCTGGAGACTCTTTGAAGCGGAGGATAACGAAATAACTCGGGAAAATCCCCAAATAGTGGAACTGGTTTTTGTCGAAAGTATCGAAACAAACTCAAGAGTTTAAAAACAAAGATTTACACGTAAAAAGTCAACGTATTATATTAAATATATAGGGTGATTCAGAACTTATCCAAAAAAAAATAAAAA